ATCAAAGTTTGACAGTTCGACCCTGCTCGAACTGGGATTAAGGCTAAGTGCCTTCGCCATCAAAGTTTAACAGTTCGACCTCGCTCGAACTGGGATTAAGGCTAAGTGCCTTCGACATCAAAGTTTGACAGTTCGACCTCGTTCGAACTGGGATTCAGGCTATGTGCCTTCCCCGTCAAAGATTAACAGTTCAACCTCGCTCGAACAGGGACTCAGGCTATGTGCCTTCGCCATCAAAGATTAACAATTCGACCCCGCTCGAACTGGGATTAAGGCTAAGTGTCTTTGCCATCAAAGATCGACAGGTTCGACCTCGTTCGAACTGGGACTAAGGCTAAGGCCTTCGCCATCAAAGAACGACAGGTTCGACCTCGTTCGAACTGTAACAACTTTTGAGTCAAACACCACTAATGTATGAAGATGGAAGATATTTTGCATGACTGACGTGCATCACCATATGGTAGCCATCATGGTGGCATTTAAACACCTGCAAAGGTGTTGCAAATCGAATTTTTATTGGCTAAAATGGTTCAATGCCGCACACATATTTGTAAAAAAATGTGATAGAAGCCAGAGACCCAGGACAATTACAAGGAAATGTGAATGCCGTTGCAAGGTATTCATGTGGTAGAATTTTTTTTGATGTACGGAGAATTAATTTTATGGAACCATTCCCATATTTGCCGGGCAACAATTATATTATATCCGGAAAAGGTTCAAAAATATCCCTAAACTATGATATATAGCTCACTTTTGTCCTCTGTTAGTAAACTGGGCCAAAAATATCCTTCCCATTAACACAATGGGCCACTAATATCCTTCAACCTAACATCCCTCCACACAAGCCATTTTAATCCTAAGTGGCATCCACGTAGCTGTGACAAGGCAGCCACATAAGCAGGCAGCCTTCTAAACCCGCTCCGAAACCCATTTCCAACGATGGCCTGAAACTCAACCTTTGGAGTTGGTATTTTTGCGCGAGAAAAGGATGTTATTTTCTTCGCGTTTTTGGGTGGTTTTAACTTTTAAGTGAGGTTTTACGGCTGGTTTCTGGTAGTTTTGGAATGGGATTGAGCAGCGTTTCTTAGCTGCCATTTCGGGTCATTTTGTGGTGTTTTTAGTGCTTTAATGGTGCTAATTTCGCAGCTTGTTTTGCTGCATTTTTTGGGGTGTTTCGTGCCTATTTCGCTGCTGAATTTGGTGATGTTGACTGAAGTTTGCTGCGTTTTCACCAGAGTTTTTAGAACTAAAAGTGCACAAATTCATGGCTGAAACGGGCTAGAGGTGAGTAGCTTTTTGGAGGAGAAAATGGTGGCTTTCATGGCTGGTTTATTCAGCAACAACACAGATGTTTCGACGGCTATTTTGGGGATCGTTTTTGGACAGAGAAGAGGGCTGCTTTGGTACGGTGGTGAAAATGGAGGCGCTAAAGTGAGGAAAATGGTGCTTCAAAGTTGCATTTTCATGGCTGAAAAATGGTTGAGTTTCAGGCCATCGATGGAAATGGGTTTCGGAGCGGGTTTAGAAGGCTGCCTGCTTATGTGGCTGTCATGTCACAGCTACGTGAATGCCACGTAGGATTAAAATGGCTTGTGTGGAGGGCTGTTAGGTTGAAGGACATTAGTGACCCACTGTGCTAACGGGAAGGATATTTTTGGCCCAGTTTACTAACGAAGGACAAAAGTGAGCTATATACCATAGTTTAGGGATATTTTTGGACCTTTTTCGTATTTTATCAGCAGTTGACTCAAGTATATTTTATTTGCAGTTGGCTATGTGTCTAAGTGGGCAGAGGTTGTTGCTCTCCCTGCTAACAACAAAAAGGTTGTGGTGAATTTTAAAATTTTATACGATATGAAACCTCATGAGCTTTTATAAGTACAAGATTAATGGATAAATTGACTTGTTGAACAAGAAAGTGAAGCAGATTTTAGAGAAAACAATAAGTATAAGTAGGAACGATTACATCGTCAAGCTTGACGAGGCTCTATGGGCATATTGTACGGCATACGAAACTCCTACTGGAGCCTCATCATAATATAAGTTGGTTTATAGGAAAGCTTCTCAGTTTCCAGCTGAAATCTTGATATGGATTTGGCCGATGAGAATATGATATTGCAACTTTACTAGCTTGATGAGTTTCCATGTTGTTGAAACCCAATTTTATTATTATTTTATCCTAATTTATTTTTTGGGCTTCTATTGCATATACACCGTCATAATAATATTTTATTATAATTTTCAGCATTTTTTATATTTTAAATCACATCATTTGTACTATAATATCAATTATCTTAGCATTTTTATTTCCTTTAATTATTGCATCATCATTTATCAAAAATATTTTGATGCTAATTTGCAACTTCATTCATTCCCGTTGCAATTTATTTCGAGCATATTCAGCATTTGAAATATGATTTTTATTTAATTATTATTATGATAATTTTAAATTAAAATAGTAGAGCCCAAAACACTTTCCAACGGCTCTTTCCCTTTTGACATATATATCTGACCTTTTGTGAAAGGAATCGGACTGAAACGCTCCTTCCGCACAAACACAGAATACCTTCAGACCATCTTCCTCAAATAAGATCGTGTGCCACCATCCTACTGCGTTCGTGTTTGCAGTGACTTTTTCGGATCCGAATTCAAGTATTTTTTTGCTAAGTTTTCCTTCGGGTCAGTGCTTGTTGTCGCATTAATTAGTATGGGTATAAGCACATGTTCTGAATAAAGTTTTTCATCTTTCTTGTATGCTATTTCTTTGTTATTTCTGTGTTGCATATGACTATGCCAAGCCATATGCTAGAATACATATGGTTTCTAGCATGAAGCTCGCTGTTATTGTTAAATATAATTCAACTGCGAATGTGTGTAGTGTATTTTGTAGATCCTTGTGGCAGTTTTAATGGCAATCCCATGGTGAAAAGTGTTAATCTTTTCAGTTTTGCTGCGGTTGGGTTGTTGAGCAAAACAAACACCTTGGAGAGGCAGTAAGGCATTTCGTCGAACATCAGGTCTGCAGTCATGTCTGAGTAGACATGTACTGTAACTGCAACTTCCTTATTAGCGACGAAGGACAAACTGAGGAATGAAAGCACCTACTAATGGATCCATATTTACCAAATGTAAAGATAATCTGATTTTCGATCAAACGGAGGAATTACAACTGATTGTGTCTCAATCTTTAGTGACACTAAGAATAAAACAGGGAACAAAAATGAAAAATAAGAAAAGGGAGGTTCCGACCTGCTATTACAGACCAGTGTTTTAATAGCTTTTCTCAACCTGCATCCCACATCATGTGTTGGTATTTCCTCGTTTTAACAACTGGCCCAAATACCTTAGCTTCTAGCCCAATAATATAATCAGTAAAGGGTCTGTTCACAACAAAAGGCATTTAAATCTACTAAATTTTGCATTTGATGCTGTAGGTTTAAGACTATAGAGAGCTTGCATTATAAATTAAGCTGCTTGAATATTGTTTGTTTCTTGTTGTGTTTGTTTCTATACTAATTAGTGTTCAAGAAAAGTAAGGATTTTGAGGTATTAATATAAAACTTTGTGCTGAAAATAGCTAGCCGGTCTTTGTTTTAAATCTTTCCATTTATGAGATACTTTTCTGCTATGTGAACGTATGTGTTAATTGTCGGCATGTCTTTCCACTTGTTTGCTTGAATTGCTTCTTATCTGTAAATGTGTAAATGCGTTCTATTACATATATCTTGACCGCCTACCCTTTTATTTTAATTTCTTTGTCTTGCACGCGAACATTTGAATAATATTGGAGTTTTGTGCAAGTTTTTTGCAAGCCATGGAGCTGCCACATTTCTTTCCTTAGTTTTCTGCTGTTGTACCCAAACACTAAAGAATAGTGGAAATCTCTTATTTTTTGGGGCTGTTGGGATGGAATTTATTTTCTTTATGTGTTTTAGCTCACTTGAAATGAGCTTTATGTGATTATGCAATTAACAAGTGTCGTAATGCCACACCTCTAATCTGGCATAATTTTTTACTAACAATTTCTTTTCTTTTGTGAGGCACAGCCTATCCATGGAGCCTAAAAAAGAGCTTGTTGTTCGGAGAAAGCAAGGCCACTGTCCCCTTTTATCCCTAAAACCTTCACCCTGAAAATCTTGGGTGATGATGATAATTTTATTTTTAAACAAAGAGATAATACATAAATTACCCATCAAATTTGTCCGGAAAAATCATTTACACATCTTAACTTTACGGGCGACCTATGTCTCCCCTATTCTTGTTTGGGGTGAATTTAATACCCCATTGGTAACACTTAGTCAGTCTTGTGGTGGGGTGTGTAGTACACGCGCGCCACGTGTCAATATCTGCTCAAAAACGATTTTTTTCTGTTTTTACAAAAAAAAATAGTTTTTACAAATTTGTTTTTCCAGTTTTTACAAAATAAAATTCTTTTAAAAAAGTGAAAAAATAAAAATAATATTTTTCAAAAATGAAAATATTTTGTTGAAAATAATTTTTTCAGTTTTTAAAAAACAAAAATATTTTGTTAAAAATGATTTTTTTTCAGTTTTTTCAAAAAAAAAAAAAATAGTTTTTACAAATTTGTTTTTCCAGTTTTTACAAAATAAAATTCTTTTAAAAAACTGAAAAAATAAAAATAATATTTTTCAAAAACGAAAATATTTTGTTGAAAATAATTTTTTCAGTTTTTAAAAAACAAAGATATTTTGTTAAAAAACGATTTTTTTTTCAGTTTTTTTCAAAACAAAAAAAAAATTAGTTTTTTACAAGTTTGTTTTTCCATTTTTTGCAAAAAAAAAAATCTTTAAAAACCTGAAAAAATGAAGAAAAAAAACTTTTTTCAAAAGCGAAAATAATTTGTTGAAAATATCTTTTTTCAGGTTTTTAAAAAACCGAATATTTTATTAAAAGCTGAAAAAAAAAATTTCTGTTTTTTACAAAAAAAAAAAAAAAATCAGTTTTTACAAAAAAATATTTTGTTAAAAAAAATGATTTTTGCAATTGTGAGAGGAAGAAGAAAAGGTGGAGAGAGAAAACAAAAAGAGAAAAAAATAAGAAAAAAAGAAGTAAACGAATAGGGGGACATAGGTCGCCACTAAAGTTAAGGTGTGTAAATGATTTTTCCGGACAAGTTTGATGGGTAATTTATGTATTATCTCTTAAAAAAATAGTGGAATGAGAAAACTAATAGAGTCGCATCTTGTCGAGGCAACTTGGATGGCCGATGATATCATGCAAGCGGTTTTGCAGCCATGGCCGACCTGATTTTGGCTTCAATATGCGATACTCGACTCACGCCACAAAAGGGTATTTTTTTTTCCTTTCTTCTCACACTTCGTTATACTACACTATTCAAGATTCAGGACGTGATGCTATGTCTGTGTTATGTTCTTGGGTGTTAGAACATTTGTGACTACTGTTTGGTTCCTGAAATTATCATTCTTCTCGAGCCTGTTGAATCTATTCTTAGCTTCGAACCATGTGTTTGGAGTATTCTAACAGAAGCATGCCTAAGTAATGAAAAAATACAACCTCTGTTTGAAGCATGATTTGAATACAAGTTCTGTGTATTAAGCTTGACGATTGCAATTAGTGTCTGGAGTCCGAAACTTAATTAATGATTTTTTAGACACAAAATACGTTTTTAATGTTTTAATTTCAATATTTTTAGAATTTTGTTAGCTACTGAGACTCTACGCTAAAAGGTTCTGCATTTTACTACGCTAAAAGGCTCTATATTTTACTTCGCTAAAATACACTATATTTTACTACGCTATAAGGCTCTACAAATAACATTAACAATACAAATAAACAAAATAAATAATATTATTTAACAATACAAATTATTTATTAAATTTTAACACAAATTATATAAGAATAAAAATTATTTATCAAATTTTAAGCATTTTTGGTCACAAACATAACATAAATTCGGGTATATAAATCAAATATAACACAAATAATCCGGTAGCATTTTTGGTCACAAACATCACATAAATTCGGGTATATAAATCAAATATAACACTACCAATCTGGTAGCATTTTTGGTCACAAACATACCATAAATTCGGGTATCAAATAAATCAATCCGGGTATATAAAAGATACAAAATTAACACAAACATAACATAAATTCACATGGAAACATACTAAACAATACTAATATGCATGACTATACGAGTTTCGGTATAAACTAAATTGAAATACCTCGATGTGAGTTTTTTGAATATTGTTGAAATCGAATTTTTGCACCCGAAACACGGAATCCAAAGCTTTTTTTGTATGTGGGACCTACATACCTTGCTCTTTATGGGACGGGTGGGCCCAAATTTTTTTTTTTTTAAATAATACGGGGGGGGGGGGGGGGGGGTACCAGAAAACTTTCGCTGTTGTATTTTAATGGAGACTTCGAAGTTCTGTCTCCAAGGAAGAAGAAGCCTTATTTAATTAAGGCAATTCGCACTGCTATACTACGAATAGCCTTAATTAAATAAGGATGGGCCCAACTCTTAAATTAAAAAATACTTCGCAGTATTATACTGTGAATTGGGTTAACAGCAAAATTTCCGTTAACCCAATTCGCAGTATAATACTGCGAAGTACTCATTTTTGTAACTTTTTTTTTTAAAACATTAAAAACGTATTTTGTGTCTAAAATATTATTAATTAAGTTTCGGACCCTTAGTGTCTGCCCTTTAGTTGAGCATTTGAAATTCAGTAATTTGCTAACACGTGTCTGTTTTATCTCTGGTATGTAGCTTTTACATATAGAATCATAGCATTGTCAGTCCAACTCTTTGCTAAACGAAAATGCAATGCAATGTGATTTGTTGAATTAACTTAGCGTATAGCTATGTGGATCATTTCTTTCCCTGAGCATGATTTTTTGTCACGACCCAAGCATGCCTTAAGAGAGGACCTGTTCAAACTTGTCTACAGTATTTTGCATAAATTGATATGACATAGTTCACTTGTAATGCTCAAACTAGAATCGGAATCTTAAATGCTTATAAGCTGTATTTTAGCTCAAAGTATGATGACGTAAATATTCTTTAGCTGTAAAATGTAGTTAATTTTTTTTTTTTTATTGAATACTACCTACATATATATGATTTGTTTGTACGTGGGAATCCTCCTCTAGATATGTAATGACTTGTGAGAACTTGAGGGCTTTAAGGTCTAGTCCTTATATTAATATCAAACCCTGTTTCACAAACAACTAGCCGGTCTTCATGTCTTTGAACACTTATTATAAAATTAAATTTTTTTTCTAGAAGATGTTGGGTACTTGTGAATCTATTCCCCATGTTAATGACGTGTATCTTCTCATGTTAGTTGTCATTGGCTACATCTGAATAAGCCCTTCTCCTTTGCTAGTTTAACCCTTTTTTTTAATGTGGCATTGGAAATATTGAGGAATCTGAAGCTTTTCTTTCCTAGAACTAAGAATCAATTAAGTCTGGTTCCTCCATTTTAAGATTACAAGTCATGCTATATTTGAATCCTTTTTGGTTTAACTATAAGAAACTGGAAAATTCACGATAGTGTTCAAGTGAGATGGAGTTCCTGATATAATGCCATTTAACTTTTTTCATTACTTATCACGGTTAGAAGTCTTGAATTTTACTTTGACAGGCTAGTCAAACTATGCACGTTATTTGCCTATATGCTAAATTTTGACCTCACGTTAGTTTGCAAGCGAGGGTAATGGATAGGCAATATGAATCCTCACATCTTTCTTTAAGCTCAATTCATATCTCAACTTGTATCATAATCATGCACTAAGATTAACGACATGCAACTAAAATTGTCACAAAGCCACACCTCTAAGGGGGCACACATCTATACTAACCAATTTTCTTTTTTTCTTGTGAGATACCTCATGCGAATAATAGAGAAATGCACAAGACAATCTTCATTGTCCTTGGGTTGTGTACTTTATCGAACTCCATTGAAGGGCACACATTTATACTAACCAATTTTCTTTTTTTCTTGTGAGATACCTTCAATGGAGTTCGATAAAGCACACAACCCAAGGACAATGAAGATTGTCTTGTGCATTTCTCTATTATTCGCATGAGGTACATCAAACCTATAAAGAAATAGTGAGATTTTATTTTGATTCTAGGGTGGAGGTTAGTCGTCTCAATCTTGCTCATTTATATTTTTTATCTGCTTATGTGACTTGCTACTTGTTTACATGCCTACTTGCTCCTTTATGCCTTAGGAAATTCGCATCTTGCATTTTCCTGCTAATTACTTATTTTGTGGTTTTAAATATTTAGGATTAGCATCTAGTTAATAATTAACCTTTATTTGATCACCTAGTGGCTAGTGCTCACATCTTGCTTCCTCCGTAGCGTAGCTACGCCAGCCCTGCGTTGCTTGCTATAGGGTCTGGCCTTTGCTTCTTCACTTTTCATGGCTTCTTATTTGGTGCTTTTCAATCTCGGCAGAATGGCCTAAATGGCACCTATATTTGTGCCACTTTGTTGTGCCGGTCCCCAAATTTAACAATTTGCTAATTGAACACTTACACTCCTTCAAACCGTATATAATAAACGCTTATGACCATTGACCAAGCTTATGTGGCATTGAATCTGCTGAGTTGGACAAAATGTGTGAAATACACGCGTATAAAGCGAGTGTAAACAGTGAATTTGATTTAACACTGATCTGAGATTTAATCAAATTTTAAATCAAATTCCTTAGTGCAAATCATTGCTGTAATTCCCACAACTAACATCCAACAGGACCAACATATCAATTTGATCACTAAAAATAACTTACAAGAAACCACTTAGGAAGCCCAGTTCTTACCTCGACCCATTTGATCTTTTTTTTTTTTATTGTTTTGTTTTTCTCATAGCAATTAGGAGCAGAAAATTAGAAAGAGGAAGAAGAATTTTGTATGCAAAGAAACAAAGAAAGAGGAAAAGGGAAGAAGAAGAGGAGATGTGGCAGAAGATGAAGAAAAGAGGGGAAGGTGAGAGAAAGGCTAAGGTATGGAATGGTACAACCCCTTTTCTCTGTAATATTAGGTCAAAATTCGATTTTATTTCTCTCTGTATATAAATAACACATATTTGTATAATCACTCCTTAAATTTCACTCCTCGAATTCCCCAAACCCCAATTTCTAGTTTTTGTTCCCTAAGTAATTGTAATCAAAATTCTATTTTGTTTCTCTCTTTGTAATCAATTTCTAGATTGGGGCATACACAGGTGAGAGAAGGTACAGGGTAATTGGAGACGAGAAAGAACTCACCGGCGAGAATTCCCGGTGGTCGGAGGAAACGGGAAAAGCATGATGATTTTTATGTTTGAATTTTATTTTTATTTTTTATTTTAATTATTTTTAATCTACCATGTGACATGGCATCTACAAATTATTATTTTCTGACGTGGCAGCCAACGTGGAGGAGATTGTATCACACGCACGGACAGCCTCCTGTCATAAGCGTTTATTATATACGGTTTGAAGGAATGTAAGGGTTCAATTGGCAAATTGTTAAGTTTGGGGACCGGCATGACAAAATGACACAAGTATAGGTGCCATTTAGGCCATTCTGCCTTTCAATCTCTCATCTTTCTCAACACTTTATGTCTTGAATATACACCTTTTGAAGCATAATTAGTTAATTTATTCCAATAAATGGGGGCATAAAACTTTATTAACTCCCACATCACAATTTCCCCATCTCTTCCCCCAAAACTTATGTTTTTAGCTTAAGTTACAGCTTCAAGTGCTTGAGAAGGTGGTAGGAGCATAAAACGAGGATAAAAACAAACAGGAAATGGCTTGTAATATGGTTACCAAAAAAAAGGCTAAAGGTTCAAAGGGGTTAACTAAGGAATACGTATGCACCAGCAATTAAAAAGCTCAAACGATCCAAGAAAAGCCTAAAATTATTTTTCAAACCAAGTGCAACCTAGGATTTTGCCTTAAAACACACTTAGGGCAAGTGATAGATCACAAATGAAACAAAAAAACTCACAAAAATCCTTACCACTCATGGCATATCGAAAGCTCAAGTAAAATATATATTCAAGGTCCAATTGATACAAAAAAACTCAAAAAGTTACATATAGCCTAAAAGACTAAATAATGAATCAAAGAGCTAAAAATAGATCCTAAAAGTTCCAACAAAGATTATTGTCACACCTCCTTTTTACACACCCGAAGGGGATATAAGGGAGTTTTTCCACTTTAAGTGACATTATTCGAAATGGGATTATTTATTTGATTTTTAGAGTCTCCACTTGGAGTATTTTAATTGGTGTCCCAAGTCACCGGTTTATTTTAAAATCCCAAATTGAGGAAAAATCGACTTTCCTTTTGAAGTCTGCGAACCAGAAATTCTATGTAAGGAATTTTGTTAACCCGGGAGAAGGTGTTAGGCATTCCCGGGTTCCGTGGTTCTAGCACGGTCGCTTAAACTATTATAATCGGCCTATTATCTGATTTTAATACATGTTTTAGCCTATGGTATATTTTAATTTATTAAACCACTTTTAATTATTTTAGGAAGATTCAACGTTATTTAAAACATGCCTTGAACCACGCCACATGAAATGCACTCGTGGTCCACGACGCATTTTATTTAACGTTGTTGAGAATTGGAGTTGGGTCACATGAAATGCATACCCGAATTTAAAAAAATAAAGGAAATTAATTTAAAATAGCGCGCCTCAAGCAACTACGAAATTTCAAGTTTAAAACAAGATTTGCGAGGGCCATGGGAAATTCAATTAATGGCACACCTCGATTTAAAGAGTTCGTATTAATTATCCGAGGGTCATGAGTTATCTAATTTTTCACTATGGCACACCTCGAGTCTAATTTTAAAGGATGTTCGAACTAATCTTTTGAGGGCCACAAATTATATCTTGCTTAATATGGCACGCCTCCAATCTAATTTTAAAAGGAGCTAATTAATTAACGAAAGCCTAAAGGGATTTGAATTATTATTTTTTAAAGCTAATGTTCAAACCAATTTAAAACTAATGGGCTAACATTAAAGGCTATCCAGCACTCGGCTGAAGAGGCCTGGACTGACAGCAATTAAAAGAGATATTGTGCCCAAACAACATGGCCCAAACACCATAGGACATGCGGCTCCTATTTACGGATGGCCTCAAGTCCAGGCCCAAAATGAGCCCAAACTTGGTGAGGAGAGGAACGCGGAAAGGAACAGGACCCAAGATCGAGTCCCCTTCAGAACAAAGGGACATTCGGATCACAAAAGCCTTTGGCTCTAAATTGCCCCTTCAATGGCTCAAGCCTCATTAAACTTACACAGTTTTGGCAAAATAAACATGAAATGCATTATCTAATTAAATTGCAATTATGCAGAAAATGGGAATACACTGGAATTAATGTCATGATTTCATACACAATGATGCTTACTCTAAACATTCAAACCGGAGGTCAACATACATCATCATATTGCTGAACATGTTCGAATACCAAACCAAAATCCAAAGAAAGAAATAGTAAAGACCAAATAATAATTAACTGTAGCTTTACAGTCAATACCAACTTGAATACATGTGAACAGAAACGAGCAAGAAGATTTCCTCATCCGACTTAGGATTATGGAACTTGAACCTCAACTGAACCTTTCTCTAATGCAAAACAGTAGCAAAATCCCATAGAGCACATGGAGAGCACTTAAGGAAGGTTTTTCAAGTCTTGCGGGAGAATGAGCTGTACATCAAGAGGGAGAAATATGAGTTCGCACAATCAAAGGTGCATTTCTTGGGCCATGTCATTAGAAATGGTAAGCTATGCATGGACGAGGCTAAGGTACGTGCTATCCAAGAGTGGGAGGCACCTACAAAGGTAACGGAGTTGAGATCCTTCCGTGTCCTAGTTAACTACTATTGTCGGTTCATCAGTGGCTACTCAGCAAAGGACGCACCATTGACTAAGCTACTAAAGAAGTACAAGCCATGGGTTTGGACAGAGCATTGTCAAAAGACGTTTAAAGGCCTTAAGACAACTGTAACAGAGGAGCCACTTTATGCGTTACCTGACTTTGCCAAGACATTTAAGGTGCACACACATGCCTCAGACTTTGCCATTGGGGGTGTCCTGATGCAGGATAAGCATCCCATAGCGTTTGAGAGCCGCAAGTTAAATGAGACGGAGCGGCGTTACACGGTGCAAGAGAAATAAATGATTGCCATTGTGCATTGCCTTCGTACATGGCGACATTATCTGCTCGGGTCGAAGTTCAGGGTCAAGACCGACAATGTGGCTACAAGTTACTTCCAGACACAGAAGAAGCTCACACCAAAACAGGCTAGGTGGCAGGTTTTTTGGCCGAGTTTGATTATGTGCTGGAGTACAAGCCGGGCAAAGGTACTATAAGAAACTACATCAAACCCTCAGCAAACTCAAAACAAAGGAACATCAGTAATTCAACTTATATTATTTTTACAACATGAGAAAAGCTAATATAACATACTTAAGATTAAACTATTACAAAATGCTAAAGAAATGGAGGAAACAGGAAAATAAAAAACTCAATAACAGCTTGTATTCAATCATGTTTCGCATTCAAATTGCAGATTTACATTTCACATATTGTCCATAGTTCCAAAAGATATCTGGAAGTCAAAGAAAAATAAGGAGAATGAGGGATTAGCAGTAGCAACAGGTCAACTCAAGCAATTCAAACCAAATCAACTTCTTTCAACACAGTATAGAACCCAGATAAGCACTGATCTTTGGAGTTTTTAAAAATTCTAACTGACTATGAGGTTTAAGAGCAGAATCAAAGCCATTTCAATCAAAGAAGGGCAGAGAATTTCAGTGTTCTTTCAAGGTTATTAAAACTCAACCTGAAAATCTCCCTTGAGAATGAAGAAACATGCATTTTATAAAGGCTTCTTAGGGCAGCAGAAAATGGTTTAGATTTTACCTATTCCTCCTTTTTTAATTTTCGTTTTTGCTAGTTAATCCCTGAATTTTTAACTTGTTTGCTAAGTCAGTCCCTTTTTCACCTTCCAGGAAGTTTCCTAAATCAGTTACACAAGATTCTTTTGTCTAAACTCCCCAAAATACCCTTTAAATTCTCAGTATTTACCCTTCCGGAAATGCCATTAACTGGGCTGGACCCTAGCAAATCTGAGCCTTTCCCCTTTTTCTTTGGGCTTCTGAGTTATGGAACCCCAATTATGGTCCACAGACCACAAACAATTAATCCCAAAAGAATTCAGAATACAAGGTATCAGAATTTTAAAAAGTAAAAATAAAAAACAAAAAAAACAAGAAAGAATGAAAACAAAACAAAAGTAGAACATGAGGCTAAAAGCATTAAAGAGGCCATGAATTGCACTACTATGCTAACAAACAACAAATTAATATGACCTAATTCTAAACATGCAAACAAAGGGTCAACTTGAACTAACAAAAGAAGGAGAAAGACATAAGAGGAAACAAAAATGTGGACTACAGCAAACTTAAAATTATCATGCATAACAGAAGGGTTCGATGAATGGGAAAGAAAACAAAAAGAAAAGAAAGAAAACAGAAGAGATTAATGAGAACAAAATGAGATGAAGGAAAAAAGAAATGATGGCCGGAAAGAATACCTAGACATAGGCGGATGGACAGCGGGCATGAATTGTCTTCAAGATCTTTCGAGTTTTGACCAAGATTGACATTAATCATGTGTTCTCATTGGGAACACACGAATAACATCAATTTCGACCCTAATCCTTCACTGAAATTTGATGATTTGGGAGTTTTGGGAATTTAGGGTTTGGGCTCTTGACCTAAGATCTAAAATTCGAAACGGCGGAGAAGGATTTGAGGGCAATTGCTTCAGGATTTAGGAAGAGGAGGGGCTGTTATCTCATGTTTTCGAGACGAACAATGTTAAATTTCTTTCAAACGATTGTATTTAGTACTCTTAGTAGTCCGTGGATGATGTAACACCAGTTCTTGGGTAGAGGCACATGCTGCATTCTGCATTATTGTTCAGCTTATTTAATTTAAGTCTTCCGCTTTAATTTCACATTCCGCTGTCATTTAAATATTTAACGCTTGTCGTTATGATAGATAAAAGGATTTAAAATGAAATAGGTAGGAGTTTATGTTTTGTGGCTTGCCTAGCTTCTACGAGTAGGCGCCATCACGACCCCCGAGGGTGGGAAAATCCGGGTCGTGACAAGTTGGTTGTTATATGGTGTAATTTCAGGGGTGATTTGAGGCGGTGCCACCACCGGAGAGGGTTGGTGTTTTGGGGCGGCGCTCTAGGGTTCTTGAGGTGTCTCTGAAGGTGAGGTGAATGAGAGAAATGAATTGGGGGGGGGGGGGGGTAAAACATTCGGACAGTTAAATATATTTAGGTGAATCAGTTCTGGACCGTTCGATCAAGTGAGATCAACGGCTCAGATTAAAAGCTAGAAAACGGGGTCGTGTGGTCACTTGAATGGGCGGACCGGGTATGGGTATGACTTGGGCCAAATTTCAGACGGGTCCTGGGAAATTTAATTGGGCCGGGGAGATTAAATTGAAACAGCCCAAACTCAGCCCTCTTTTCTTTTATTTAATTTCAAATTCCTTTTTCTTTTCAAATTAAAAATAAGAACCTAAATTAATTTATCAGATTAAATTCA